AACCATTTGATAAAAAAATATTGGCTACGTCGTAGCAAGGATTATACTCGTAGTATCTACGTCGTAGTTGAAACTTGCTACGACGTAGCAAACAAACAGCTCCACAATTATTGTAGTTAGCTACGTCGTAGCTGTGCAGCTACGCCGTTAGCTTGAACGTTGTAATTTAGGCAAAATTCAATGTCCGATTTCAATGATCGTCACGATCATGGAAATTGAGCATGCGGCATGCTTATTCCGTAGCGGTGATTGGTGTCTTGGATTACTGTAATTGATACTTACTTAATTAACTGATTCCCGTGTACGTTTAGTTTGGAAGCTGGAGCGGCTCATGGTAACAGTTCGCTGTATCAGTGCTGTAGTGGGTTCTGTATAGACTTACTGCAGCAATTAGCCGAACAACTTGGCTTCACCTACGAGCTAGTTCGAGTCGAGGACGGTCGTTGGGGCACTTTACATAACGGCAAGTGGAACGGCCTCATTGCAGATTTGGTCAATAAAAAAACTGACATGGTAAGCAAATGTAGTTTATTAAATATTTAAACTGAATAGATACATGTAATCCTCATAGAAAGTAGCGAAATAAAAAATATCTATTTAAATTTCAGGTACTAACATCGCTGATTATAAATTCGGACAGAGAAGCGGTGGTGGATTTCAGTGTACCATTTATGGAAACAGGTGTCGCAATCGTAGTAGCGAAACGAACAGGCATCATATCGCCGACAGCGTTCTTGGAGCCGTTCGACACAGCATCTTGGATGCTCGTGGGAGCAGTCGCTATACAAGCTGCTACTTTTTCGATCTTCTTCTTTGAATGGTTGTCACCGAGTGGATTCGATTGTTCGACGGGAAATAACTCGAAACGTGTGCCGCAAAATCGATTTTCTCTGTGTCGGACTTATTGGATCGTTTGGGCTGTTTTATTTCAGGTGATATGAAAGTATATTACTAATTTTATATAGGTAACAGCTAAACGCTATGATGTAAAATACAATTTATATATTTTCATATAGCATTCATAAGTAATACCTACTTACTTTCTAGTTATATGAAATTGTTTATTTTAGGCGTCAGTGCACGTAGATTCACCTCGAGGCTTCACCGCCCGATTCATGACCAATATGTGGGCTATGTTTGCGGTAGTATTTCTTGCGATATACACTGCCAATTTAGCTGCCTTCATGATTACGCGAGAGGAATATCACGAGTTGAGTGGATTAGATGATCCACGGATAGCGAGGCCACTCACTCAACGACCACCATTGAAGTTTGGAACAGTACCATGGTCACACACAGATGCCACCCTTGCCAAATATTTTACAGAACCACATGCCTACATGGCTCGGTAAGAATTTTTTCTACATATACACTATTCCCACAGTTTAAATAAATTAAAGACATTGCTTTATCACAAAGGAAAACGTTCCATTACCTAGCTTAACAATTGTCGGTAAATTAGGTATAAGTAATTTAAGTTTGTTGGATGATACTACTATCATGTTTTGCTTTTTCAGGTATAATCGGAGTACTGTAAGTGCAGGCGTCACGTGTGTTCTAACAGGTGAACTGGATGCCTTCATTTACGATGGCACCGTATTAGATTATTTAGTTTCTCAAGTAAGTTGTGACGCATTCAATCTATTGATTTAAATCATCATCAAAAACATTGAAATAGTTTATAAGATGTTAAATGCTTTTAAACTGAAATATGTAGATTTAAGAGTGGGTGTTTAATCTGTACTATCTCTACTAATATTATAAAGAGGTAAAATTTGTAAGTTTGTATGTAGGGGTAATCTTTGGAACCGCTGGTCGGATTGCCAAAATTCTTTCACTGATAGATAGCTACAGTGTTCCTGAGTGCTATAGGCTATAAAACATCACGCTACGATTAAATGGAGCCGAGCGGGCAAAAACCGCGCGAGAGTAGCTAGTAATAAATAAGTACGTAATTTATTAATTTCGTCTTCAATTTAAATAAAGTATTTTAACCTAGCTATTTTTCAGGACGAAGACTGCAGGCTGTTAACAGTAGGTGCATGGTATGCAATGTCCGGTTATGGATTAGCGTTTACACGTAATTCTAAATATGTCAGTATGTTTAATAAACGACTACTCGACTTAAGAGCTAATGGTGATCTGGAAAGATTACGAAGGTGGGTTGGATAAATAAATGTTAATTATGAAATAAAAATAATATATTTTTAATTAATTGTATACTAATCAAAACTGTTTGTCGTAGGTACTGGATGACGGGGACGTGTAAACCTAATAAACAAGAACACAAGTCGTCCGACCCTCTGGCATTGGAACAATTTTTGTCCGCGTTCTTATTGCTAATGGCGGGCATACTGCTCGCAGCGCTATTACTGCTGCTCGAGCATGTGTACTTTCGATATCTGCGCTCACATCTCGCCGCGTCCAGTGCAGGCTCGTGTTGCGCGCTAGTGTCCTTATCAATGGGTACCTATCATTTTATTATTTAATATTATTTTAACCTTTTAAATATTTAAACATTTTAAATATTTCAAATGCTTACGAAATTATTTTTACAGGTCAATCCCTTACATTTCACGGCGCCGTCGTAGAGGCGGCGGCGCGTGGATTTGGAGAGAGGAGTCACTGCCGTTCTGCAGTTTGTGCTGCACAGGTAACCGAACTCTCAATACTACTTTTGTAACTAACTAACGACCAACATCTTTATTCTTGGAGATCGCAGAAAACAAAATCAACACTTTTTCATCCCACCACCTCATCACATGTTTATAGGAAGTTTTTGTCGGTTTCAATTTCGGTCGTGAAATGTATTTATTTAACGAGGAAAATTGTACAATTATAAAGTACTTAAACAAAAATTATGAAAATTATGTAAGTCTAGCTCTCTACATGGCAAACTAATACTCATAAAAATAATACACATGAGCGGTTTATTTACTTAATAATCTCTCTCTAAACATTATAATTATGACTGATTAAATCGAGATAATGTAGTTAAATAACCAGCTTTAGGATTAGGCAGCCTAGAAACACGCAACCAGAATAGTCCCAAAAGGAGTGGACATTGAACTTTGTACTTACCTTAAATTCTTAGAAGAGAAATGTCTATCTAGTAATAGTAGTGTTGACAGACTTGTTGTTTCTGTATAAAGTTAGTGTCTTCCACTCCTCTCTGAGCAAATCTTTCTGCTTTTTATTGCTAATTCAATTTGTTTTTGGAGGTATGGCGAGCTCGACATGAGCGCGACATGGCGGTGGCGCGCGCCCGTCAACTGGCGGCGGCGCTGGCGGCGCACGGGCTGGCTGCGCCGCCACGTCGCTTAGCATCAGCGGGCGCTCTCCTGGCAGTAGGCCGTCACGATGCCACACATGTGCGCACGCTACGTCCGCCTGCCGATCTGCTGCCCGACCTCGATAGACCGCTCTCTTGCGGCGATTTACGCTCAAGGTACTTCCTAATTGAATCTTTAGTTAAACATTTGTCGACAAAGAAACTACAAAAAATATCGACTTCCAAAATAAGCAAAAAACGTAACGTAGGTACCAAATTATTCTTTCTTTTTCAGAGAGCGGACGCGAGTAGAAATGGAAACAGTGCTGTGAGGCGTGTATAGCGCCACCCTATTTCAATTCCTGAAGGCTGTTCTTACACCAAGTTATACAAAACGAAATTAGTTATACCTAATGTTAAAATATGGACAGATAAAAAAAGCGTTGTAATTATTAAATAAACTTACAATTATTAAAACAGAGAGCTGGACGTAGATAGCGAAGCGTTGTTGTGGGACCCGCGCGCGGTGCAGGCTGGGCGCCGGGCGCGTGCCCCCGTGTTGTCTACTACAATAAAATATATTTTTTGGACAATATAAAGCGTTTTAATTATAATGCAATGCGTGACAAATATAAATACATATTATCAAAATCTGCCATGGGCCCATGAGCCATTATGGATAATGCTACGGTCGCCATGTGCACGAAAATAGTGACTGTACGACGTACCCTACCTACTTTTGTGTTACAAGATAATAACATTGTTGAGCTTTGTTAAATATCACAGAAGCAATCTCCTAGAAACAAAACAATTCGCTTTCTGAGTGTAAAGGAAGCCTTGTCGTTGAAAGAGATTAATCGTCTATTTACTTCACCCGCCCTGGGTGGGTGAGAGGAAGTGCCAGACTCGTACTGACTGAAAGCCACCCCGCGCCGAACCGAAGCTGAGGCACTCTCAAACACGGCTGTACTACGAAAACGTGGCGGAAAGAAGGAGCCTTCTTTGAGAGGATATATGTAGCTACCTAGATCCTCTCTAGGTATATAGTGGTGTGCAGACACACCACTATATATTTCGTACCTTTTAATATATTTCGTTGCGGGACCCAAGGCAGTTATTGGGACGGTTGCGGGATCAATGGGACGCGTCGGACTTTAATGTTCTGGTGTTTTCATGGTTGTGTCTACTGCAAATACTGGCTTACAGGAGTTACAGCGGTTTTAAGAGGTTCGTGGCCGGTTTCCTCTCAAGAAAAGAACGCCTAAGGCTTTGGGTCCGCCATTATACATTGTGCAATAAGTGTAAAATAAATAAATAAACATAGTAACTTTCGCATTTATAATATAAGTAAGATTTATTTATTATAATAAGATAGGCTCACAGCTTATATATACAAAGTAGTTTAAAGTATTGGTAATAGGCAGTAGGTCTTATTATATATTAGCCAGTTACGAGCTAATCAACATTCTTATAATTATGCGTTTGTACAGACAAAATATATAAATAAATTTGTGGATACTCCTAATACTTGAAACAAAGCTATTCAATTATTTCTCAAATAATACCTAGTCTAAGTACCCACTCAATTAAAAAGAGAAGTCACCCGACGTTCATAGGTTTGTCTTAGGCCAAAATATATAAAAAAATATTTAATTCATCCATGGACAATATCTTTAATTTTTACATGTACTTTGACATCATCATATGTTTGACAATGACATTAAGACATGTCATAACCATCAGGCGCCGGTATTGAATGACTTTGACTATTGAAAATTACAACAGTCAGCGCCAGTTCTATTGTATAATAATATTAAACTAATATTAAAATTTTATTCTAATCGTCATGTCTAAGGATATTATTGTTCTTACCCCCAATGGAAGGAGACAAAAGGTTCATTGTACACCTGATACAATAATTTTACAGGTAAGGTTTTATGTCTGTTTTGGAATATTTTGGGCTGTTTTCGTATTATAGAAATTTCTTCGTTGATTGTTTCCATTACGCTGTAAGATTGTGTTTTATCAGAAAATACAATGTTTCTATTGTATTGCACATTTATTTAAGATTTTGTTCTTATGGATTTTCTTCCTATTTGAACGACAATAAATGTATTCCACCCAATCTCAAAACTGCATCTGCTCATGAGGAACAACTCCTCTGTGGTTCGAAATTAGTAGAGCTTACCTCAATATGAAAAAAAAAGTTATACATATAGAAAGTTAGAAATTATTTATCTATTTATTTCTTAAGATTTTTCTGTTCATAGTAGGTATTCTAGTTTTTATTTTTTAATGGTTAATCTCATGAAATTGTCCAGTTTATCCTAGAAATAATATTTAATAATATTATGATTTGGTATCTTATAAATGATTTATATATAGATACTTCTACCTTCTTAATGAGATTTAAGGAATTCTTTATGACATTCTGTCACTGAGGTTTTGTCAGAATGAAATTCTCTTAGATTTATCCAAGAAAGAAATGAACCATTTATTAGATGAATGGAATTTTTAATTAACAATCCTGTGATGAATAATAATTCAAGTTAGTATATAACAAATCCCTAGGACTGAACCATGACAAGATTTTGTTGTGGTTGGGGCGAGCTAGCATATTGGGTATTTTTTCATTATTATCCAGAGGAGAGCTTTGCTAGTTTTTTTTTTACTATAATTATTGTCCTGCAATCTGGAATCTCTAAAATGCCTCCAATTATTTTTGTTGCTGTGGATAATATTTTATTTTTATTTCTCACAGTCACACAGATAGATGCCTTTCTTCCAAGTAGACATGATTGAAACTAAAGTATGTTGACAACTATAAAAAATAATCATGTACCTTTAGTCCATTATTGAATTGGTTCAGTATTCAATTGGTGATTATAAAATAAGAAAAAACTGTACTTATATTATTTGAGTCATTACACTGCTAACTTGCTAAAGCTCTAAATGTTGTCCAATAGGAATTTAAAACAAGGAGAGCTGGTGAACATATATGTTTAGGCTTATTGCTTTTGTTACACAAACCTTTTTGTGTAATCATAACATTTAAAAATCCCTAATAAAATAGAAGTGTTTGAAATATACAGTCTTCTGTGCTACATTTTTACAATTATTACACAATTTATACTCATTGATTGCAGGTATTAGAAGATGTCTGCCGGAAGCAAGGTTTTGAACCTTCAGACTATGATTTAAAGCATCATAATCATGTTTTGGATTTAACTACTACTATTCGTTTTTCAAATCTACCAAATAAAGCTATGCTGGAAATGGTGGAAGCAGAAAGGAAACGACAAGAATCTAATGTCACCATTGGATTACAACTGGAAGATGGTAACCATCCCGGAATGCTATTTCATTTATAAAATTCAATTTAATACTTCAAAAAAAAAGAGAAACTCTATAAAAATATAATATTTTCCAGCTGATGATGATCAAATAGTCCTGTTGGATGTCTTAGCAAAGATTGATTATTTTGTTTCAGGTGAAAGAAGAACAGCAGATTTTTCACCCAACACATCTTTATATGACTTAGTAATATCCCTGGCGCCAGGCGAACTAAATTCTTTGGAGCACCCTACTATAATGTATATGCGACATGAAGTGGTTGGTGAAAATGCTCTTCGAGGAAAGACATTAAGGCAGTTAGGCTTAATAGGGGGTAGAGCAATTCTCAGATTGTTAAACAAACAAACAGAGGCAAGGTAAGTCATTCAATTATTATTTACATGCCTAGCTTATTTAAGATTGTGTGTCATAAACTTATAAATCACATATCAATTAACTATTTGAAAAAAATTTGCTCTAGACATTGAGTTTGACTGCTATATCACAAAATATATTATAGATTTTTCACGTGGGCAATTCCCCATCCCACCCATCCTAAATGCTTAAAAAAATCCACATTTTGTTTATAGACAAGCTAACGTTTCTGCTTTTTACCGCCGACCAGTCATTGAGCATAAAGACACTGATGAGGGAAATATAGTGAAAAAAGCCAAAGAACAAAAGATAGATGAGCCACATTCAGGGACTTCTGACATGCATAAGCTCAACACAGAACAGTATCATAAGCCTGATATTATAGAAAAGTTTAAAGAAAGTGTTCTTCAAGAAAGTAAAAAAGAAGAAACTAAAGTAATGGAACAAGAAAGTTCAGAAGAACAAGTAACAGCTACTAATAAAGAAGAATTGATGGATGTTGATGAAAAAAAGAGCAATTTATCGTTTTCTTCGCAATCAAGAGAATATTTGGAAAGGCGGCTTAAGATTGAAGAGGAAGTTACATTTGTAAGTCAATTATTTACTTATCTATATAAATTTTCCACAAAATACCTACTGCGCAGAACACGTCATCCTACTGGGTAGCTTTTTCCTATTCCTACTAATACATTTCGTGCGGGTAGTGCTCTCGTGTAGCTTTTGGGTTACAAGTAATACTACTGTCCCGCGGTTTCACCCGCTGCTCGGCTCCTACATATCGTAGCGTGATGTTTTATAGCCTATTGCTTTCCTCGATAAATGACTAACAAACAGAAAAATAATTGTTCAATTCGAACCAACAAGTACACCTTTATAATATTAGTATAGAAATGTGGCAAAATTTTGACATGGTGGAGGTAAGTTCGCACGAAGTTATATGTATACCAATGTAAATGTTGCATGCTGTTTGGCGCAATATAGTAGCTCGAGATTTCAGCTGTAAATAATTTCATTGGGCAGTTACGCTTTATTTATTACGCTTGCGCCCATTCGACGTATGAACGCAGTTTTATTGTTGTACTAGCGGCCCGCCCCTGATCCGCACGCGTCTTTAACTATCTCGCTAACGACCAAAGTGTCCCTATTTCCCAGGTCTCCCCTCTACTTTTTTACAATTTTCTTTCATAAGAACCATCTCCTGCAACAAACACATCAAAAAAAGATTTGGCAAAATTGGTCCAGGCGTTACGTTGTTGAGTTATGCGCTTACCAACACATTTTGCGAATCATTTTTATATACTTATATAGATTATTACTGGTATTTTAATTCGTTAGTTGTTCTAGTTCAGTATAATATTATTTATTTTAGTTAGGAGCTCAAAAAGCTATAGCTTTTATGCAACCGGATTCCATTGAAGAGGAAATTGAAGACCTGCCAGATGACTTCTATGAATTAACTGTTGATGAAGTACGAAGATTGTATCATGACCTACAACAACATCGAATTTCTTTAGAAAACACTCCCCTTGTATCTTCAACAAAACAAAAGGAGATCGATGAACAGGTAAAGCATAAAAAACTGTTGGTTTTAAAGTAATTAAATTACCTAGGAACTTATATTATTTTTTTACTTTACTTGTTGCAGGCATCTTTACAAAAACTCAATGTATACAAGAATGTTGTGGTGCGAGTACAGTTTCCAGACCACATTATTCTGCAAGGAATTTTCACCCCTATGAACACGATCGAAGATGTAACAGAATTTATTAAAGGCCATTTACGAAATCCAAGCAAGGAATTTCACATATGTAAGCTAAAATCTTTTATAACTACAGGTTACTCGTAAAAAGCCTAAATATTAAAGCGTTCCTAATCCCTTTTTTATTGTCTATATAATTCACAGTTGTAACACCTCTAAAAGAAACACTGGATCCTAAAATGACATTATTGGATGCGAAGTTTGTACCTTGTGTACACATGCATTTTAAGTGGATAGAAGAAGATGTGACAAGACAACCATATCTAAAAGATGATATATATGAAAAAAGAACTGCTTCTGATGCAGCCAACATTTTGGCTTCAAAGTACAGGTAAGGTGATTTTTTAAGTTGTTCAAGCACATAAAAGTATTATAATGAATTGCCATGGCAAAACTCAGTGAAGAATATCAATTATGTCTACCGAGTATCATGATATAATTGAATATTCATTCATCTACATCGAAGTACTTTTCCCAACCTATAGGCTTACTCCCGACAGTTTCGAGTTCCGAATCAATCAAATTTGATTCGAACTGTTGAGTTCGAAACCAACGCAAGGTCGCATTGCGGCTCGGATCGCAACCAACTAGGATTCGGTATGATGGAGAAATTCGTACGTTGTGTTCCATTTAGATATGTATCAAGCTTTAGGATCAAAGTAAAATTATTTCTTTTAATTAGACTATTACAGGCACTATTAAACGTCAAACAATAGGTAATAAAAATATCAGTCTGTCGGTCAGTCGTCATAATGAAGTTACAGATAATAAATTCTGGTGGGGAAGAACGAGGATAAACTCTAAGATTACTCTTTTTCTATCAGATTATTTGTTACATTATCCGATTGAAAGTTCATGTTGGTTCCATTATGTGAGAAAATTGTAACACTAATATATTTTAACCAAAAAATGCGTTATACATAACAAATTGGCGTGCGTTCGTGCAGCGGAATGTTGTTGAATTTAAAGATTTTAATTATGCAGATATTTAGTGTATGACGTCGTATAATTGTGTATGGTAAAAAAAAAATTGTGCACGCAACCATTGTGGAGAAATTCACCAAAAACTGATTCCGCTGGGCGAACGTTGTCCTGGCGGAACTTTTTTTAATCCATAGACTTTAGAAGAAAAGAGATGTATCCAAAAATTAGTGTGTATTTGTGTGTAATTGTGTACCTATGTATGAATAAAACTAGTGCATGCATAAACTTCGGAGATATTCAAGTTTCCCCTACGCGAACGTTTGGCCATTAGCTAGTTTTCATATAAAGCGCTTACATAGAGAGCTGTAGATTTTTACATACGTTGTTCTGAATTTGTGTATATTTGTTTAAAAAACAGATTTAGAAAAAATCGTAGGGTTTAAAAGATAAAAATATAAACGTAAAATACGCTTATTAGGTCTTAGTTCTTAAAGTATGCACTTTAGGGTCTAGATTTTCACGTTTATACAAACCTTGTAAGTGTCTGCAACATGTTGCCAAGTATCAATGATGTTCAGTTAGTAATTAAATAGTTATAGGACAAATTTACCATGAATAGATCACTGTTTACAAAGCAGTCAAATATCACGACGTTCTAAATGAATTGCTTGGTAAAATGTATGCCAGTAATTAGTGTATTCATTCAACTATTCACATGCAAAATTTCATGTCATTAAAATCAGTAATTAAAGAAAAACAATTATAATACTGACGAAGCATCGAAAACCTACATAACCCGACCAAGTTCGGATGGCTACAAAAAAGCGGCCGTGCCATATATCTAAGAAACGTTCTTAACTTTCCAATATAGCATTTATTAATATGGTACAGTATCGTACACAAGCTTTAGGAAAAAATAAAACACAGTATCGTACACACGCTCGTGCATGCCTCTATTGGTTAAATAGTGCAATAAAAAATATTGGTTAAATAGTGTAATAAGCTACAATATGATAAATATTTACCTAAACAGTAGTACTTAAGTACTTACATGTGGTAAATATTTAATTTCCCTAAGGGGTCTATAGTTAGAATCCTGATCCGTGAAATATTCAATAGAAATTAGCTGTATGAATTTTATTTGTCTTAAATATAATTAGATTATATCTCAAGTCTCAAGCGCATACTTAAATAAAGTACCTACGTAAATAGTACCTACTTTCTGTCATAGTCAAATACATTTAAAAAAGTAGGTGTCCAAAAATAAATGACCTATAAATTATTTCGAAACAACAAGTGTGTTATCACCTGTACCAATTCAATACCGGTATTATACTGTAAATTTTGGGATGTTACCTAAATATATTGCACATCCGCTTTTTTGGAGCCATCCGAACTTGGTCGGGTTATGTAGGTTTTCGATACTTCGTCAGTATTATAATTGTTATTCTTTAATTACTGAATTTAATGACATGAAATTTTGCATGTGAATAGTTGAATGAATACACTAATTATTGGCATACATTTTACCATGCAATTTATTTAGAACGTCGTGATATTTGACTGCTTTGTAAACAGTGATCTATTCATGGTAAATTTGTCCTATAACTATTTAATTACTAACGGAACATCATTGATACTTGGCAACATGTTGCAGACACTTACAAGGTTTGTATAAACGTGAAAATCTAGACCCTAAAGTGCATACTTTAAGAGCTAAGACCTAATAAGCGTATTTTACGTTTATATTTTTATCTTTTAAACCCTACGATTTTTTCTAAATCTGTTTTTTAAACAAATATACACAAATTCAAAACAACGTATGTAAAAATCTACAGCTCTCTATGTAAGCGCTTTATATGAAAACTAGCTAATGGCCAAACGTTCGCGTAGCGGAAACTTGAATATCTCCGAAGTTTATGCATGCACTAGTTTTATTCATACATACACAATTACACACAAATACACACTAATTTTTGGATACATCTCTTTTCTTCTAAAGTCTATGGATTAAAAAAAGTTCCGCCAGGACAACGTTCGCCCAGCGGAATCAGTTTTTGGTGAATTTCTCCACAATGGTTGCGTGCACAAATTTTTTTTTACCATACACAATTATACGACGTCATACACTAAATATCTGCATAATTAAAATCTTTAAATTCAACAACATTCCGCTGCACGAACGCACGCAACAAATTGCATGCCGATGTGCAGTTTAAGATTGGAACTCTTCGGAATTGAAATCTCCTCAGACTTAAACAGTAGGCGGTTCATTGAATCCAAAACCAAGGTAGCAGCTAAGAAACTGGGCATTCTTGCAAAGGTTCGACTGTACTTCACACCGGAACAGCTTCTACTGCACTGTTACAAAGCAGTCTCATAGTCTAGTCGTGTGTGGAGTACTGCAGTCACATATGGGCTGGTAATGCAAAATGTCACTTAGCAGCTTTCGACTCAGTGGACAGGCGTGCTTAGAGACTGATTGGTGGCACAGGCGTAGGGAAGCCAGCCTCTCAGTTATCTAAAAGATACATTTTGGGGAGAGAGCGCGGGTACTAAGTTAATTGTACGGCATACAGCTGGTATCCGTCCTTATATTTTTGAGACCTCTACCATCCGATCTAAGCGTTTCGTTTCGTCGTTTAGGTATACTACGCACATCTAAGGATTGGAATAGCTTGCCTGCAACGGTCTTCTCGTCCAGTTATGATTACGATTTAGGTGTTTTCAAGGCTAGAGTGAATAGGCTCGTAATAAACTAGTGCGCCTTACCATTACATATCTTATATTATATGCAATCAAGTTCAATGATTCAAAAAAACCTACCGTTTCCGATCGGATTTCAATAAAAAACTAATTCCCATCAGACAAAATTAGAATCGAATCGATTTTTGGAGTAAGCTACCGGAAACACAAACTGTGAGGTCTTAATAATAATCCTTATAATTATCTTTATTTTATAGAGCCACCGCAAGAAGGAAACCAGATGTGTTACCCGGTACATCGCAAAAAGTACCTACTGCTTCGACATCTAAAGGTAATAAAATGCCAAAATGGTTCAAGAACTGAAATAATTGCCAAGTGTTCCGCTATTATTTTTCGAATCGCACCAAGACACAACTGTATAATATATAAATGGAACAATTGTTGATGGCTCCATGTCTATTCTTTGCAATTCAAATGAATTTTAAATATTTTGTTGTATATATTATACCTTTACACAGTTATTAAAAATAAAACAAACATTTTCAACGTAATTTTATTTATTTGTAACGAAACCCATTACAAGTAGTCTATGTATAAAAAAGTATATTTATGTAGAAAAAATACAATTAAATCATACGTTATCTAAGAAGTCCAACAGATACTTTTTCACAGCAGTTATAAATTCGAATTTTTTATATCAGAGCTAAATGAGATGTGTGATATATCACAACACAACACTATTTTGACACTGTGCAGCCACATAATGTGCGTAAGCGAAAAACCATGAGATACTTTTATTTTATTCCCCAGTTAATTGAGCAACAAAATAAAAAAAAAACAGATAAAACGGAATAAAAACGAATAAGTCTGACACTGCCCCTCTGCCCCAAACAAACCGAGAGGAAACATTTGAAGATTTTCCAACTAAAAATAAAAACGGTGGAGGACAACGGGACCTATAATCAGAAAGGCCATCATAGTTGTATGAATGAGGGTAATGTTCCTAATTTGCACCTTGTAGGTTTTATAATTTCACATGTTTCATTTGAATCATTATCGCCTTTATTTTCTTCGTAGTATCTATGTTCAGAGCATCTTTCACCTTTTTCTTTTAACTTTACGCGATTTGTATTTGTTTTCTCGTCGACATCTGGTATATCTTTATTTTCATCTTGTTGTAGTTTAATGATACTGTTACCATTAGTTTTAATTTTTGTGAATTTCTTCTTTCTCATTGTTGAAATAGTTTTAATATTTCCCTCTAAAGGTAAGTTTACGTGTCGTTGTAAACACGCGCTACCTTTCTCGCAATATCCCTTGAGAAAGTCTGAGCAAATCTTTGCCTTTTCATTCAATTTAACATGTAAATAAGGGCACTCAGCTTTAGTGCAAGTCCCTTGTAAATAAAAATAACAGGTGGGCATTTTCTTACTTGTTAAATCATGGGATAAAAGGCATTCCTTGTCATGACAAATACCTTTAATAAATTTACGACATATAGAAACATGTTTCTTATCATGCAGAAATTCACAGGAGCCACGTGCGTTTCTCAGACATTTTCCAAACTTGCGGAATAATGGACAGGGTATATTATTTTTCTTAAGATTTCCCTTAATTAATCTTTTAATCCTTGATTCCTTGACCACATAATTTGATTTATATGGCTTTCTCTGAATATCTGTATGTACAATCGTTTTTTCAAGTTTGAAAGAAGAAACATTACTAGAATTGACGACTTTAAACACATTCTTTCTTCGACTGATTTGTGGCGTCTGAAAATTTGCGTCAATATTAGGTACAGAAGGCAGGTAGCTGGCACTTTTATCTTTGTTTAAATGTATTTTTGCATCTTTCCATGAAACTGTTTTATACTTATTGACTTTAAAAGTAATCTTCGGTTTCTCAATTGTTGATTCTTTTGAAGGTTTATTAGTTAAGTTTTGTCTAACTAAAGAATAACGAGATTGGGACACAGAAGCCTCAGGGAAAATTGTTTTGCCTGTAACTTCTTGCTGATATGTAATATATGATTCTTCAGTAAAAGTGTGTATAAGAGGTTGATTTTCTTTTGTTTTGAAACCTATTTGGTTGTTAGTACTCCTATCTGTACTTTTATAATTTATGAAATTGGGATTTATATAAATTTTATTCTTATTTTGAACATTACAATGAACACTTGGTACAAGATAAGAAAATTTTGGATTAACATGCATACTTCCATTGCTGGAACCACTTTTTGTATGAGGCCTATTAAAATTAGGGTTAATATAAACTTTGTTTTTACTATTATCTTGATTATTCATTTTATATGTCTTTTAATTATTTTTAAGTTTATTAAATCAATGAGTACTGAAAGTATTTGTTCCCACTTTTACAATTGATTGTATCAATTAACACTGTCCTCAGTTCTTTTTCAATCTCCTGCAGCAATAGATCATTTAATGTGTCTATAATAGTGTCTAATTCAGATTGTTTATCCCCATTTGTCCACAAAAGGCTCATGTGGAATGATGGCTCCTGAAACGAAAAACAAGTGAATAAAATTCATATTGTTAAAATCAACTATTTTTTCAAAAGCCCTTTACAAACCTTGTAAAATGTTGGCAGCTGAAATTCAGTCAAAACATCATCCACCTTTTTCGAAACATTTGATAGGTTTTTATGACTGAAAGGATCCACATCAAGAGATATAAATGTTCTTGACTTGTCCTCGTTGCAATATACTTTGACTGCAGCAAACCCTATATCAAAACTAAAACATATCAGTTATTAAAACGTGAAGCATTATTATGATACATGGGTATGTTTACCTACAAATGATGATAACTTCTAATGAATAGTTAAAAACAAGATGCCAGTAGCATTTTTTTAAAAACCTTTATTGACTGTTACTACAATTTACCCTCACTAACAAATTACCCTCCTTATCACAAGAAGCATTAGCGGGAAAGATTTGCATTATTTTGTAAAATGATCTTTATATTTTATAAAGCCTCACAATGTAATATAATGCAATGTACATTCATCAAAGAGGTTAATGGTTAAGAAGTTAAGCATTAACTTTTCTTTACACAACAAATCTCCTTTTTTTCAAAAAGTATTTCCTACTACTCATATATATAATATTTTTAAAAGAATTTGAATATAAAGGAAAATATATGTACCTTTCAACTGTGCTGAGGACTTTCTGAAGTGATGAACTAAATGTTGATATTAAATGATACTTCAATACAAATGTTTTTGATAAACTTATATGTAGATCATCACAGCGATGGCATGTGTCCACTTTAGTAGAAATAACAGTCTCAAATCTTTTTAATAAGTTCAAAACTACTTCTGTTTGATGATGATCTAAAAAACATAATTGTCAATCACTCTTTTTGTCTGAATTTGGCTTTTCGCTTGGGGTGTACAATTGAGGTTTGATAAATTAAGATATTGTGTGACAAGAAATTCATTTCTAAGTAATTTTGATTTCACTTACAATTCACATAAACAAATGTAGCCCAGTTGCCTCTCACATGAGGAAATGACCTAGACCTGCCACCATGAATTTGTGGATCATCAATGTGAGTGTCACTAGGGACAACAGCCACTTTGCTCAAATCAGGTGTGGGTAGCTTAGGTCTGAAAAATAGTTACATAAAGCAATTTTGTGGTTATACTACATGTTTAGATACAGTAGGTAACTAACAGCCAACAAAACACCCATGTGTAGCTCAATTTGTTTATTAAATACCTAGTGATCCCATGTCCTATCGTGTCAGTATCACTATCTTCAGAATTAGATCCATATTCTTCACTTATGTAAGATAACGATGACATTAGTTTCTCTAAAAACTATTAACGATTGTAGTATTATTTTAATGACTGCGCACATACCTTCCTATTTTAATTAGTTAAACACTCTTCACTATAAGAAACGAAATTGATAATAATAAGTAACAAAGACAACGATTGTCAAAATTGACATTTGACAACAAAGAGTATGTAACCACTACGTTTACGTTGTTTGACAAGGAGAAGAGTTCACTTCATTGACATAGGAAATATATGGACTTGAAATACCTACGAAAAGAAGGTGCCTACCTACAATCCAAAATGTCGCATAAGATGGCTGCCGTTGCTAGGGTTGTGCCGACTAAGTATTTAACGAGTATCGATACAATTTGAGTAAAAGTTCTACGTAGGTATAGTTTTAGGGATTAGCCAGCTGATTAACGGTATTTTTTTTATGGGAAATCATCTAATGTCATCTCCGGCCTTTTTCGGGACAGACCGTTACTGACTAAAATCAACTCCTGTTCCTACTTTGCAGTCGGCCTAGCTAGAACCCGGAACCCGGGGTTAACTTGGTCTCTTGATTGGCTAATGATTTTCTCAAGTCGAATTTGTATTCAAATAACTCTACGTAAAGCGTCTTTTAAAAAAAATAGGACTGTGTTTATGAACAGCGTTTAATGGAATGGTGAAATAGAAAAAGATAGTGTTTGTTAAATGTTTATCTTTATATATGTGGAAAACCTGTGGGTATTTGTGAAGTGCTCGCGCACAATTTCGGCGCGTCTGATTAAGCGATGATATCTTCGAAACTACGTTAGCACAAAATAGATATGTAGTGAAGTCAATCTTATTGTATGTATCTCACTTTTTATTATTACGATTGGTGGTCGCACTGGGATCGTCGCCAACGCCGCTCTGTCAATCGCGCCCGTATAATTATAAATCATGATAATTTGAACTTCTACTTATGTAACTAAAACCAATACCAAAATACTGACGTCTTACTTTAGCGTTACACAAAACTGCGGAAACATCCATTGTTAAAATAGATTATTTAGTATAATATATGTTGAATTTTAAATGGGAGATTATATCGATACTTTTGTGAAATGGTACGTAACTATGCCATATTGACATATTATTGTAAACAACAATTTTTTACTAAAACTGTCTCACAGACAGAAATAAAAGTAAATATATATACTTTGGCAATAGATTAAAGTATCCGTGACATTTTTTTCTATCTATGTGGATTATTCTAAGTAATATTTGATGAAAACTGTTTACTAACCTATACAAAGACAATTGAGGTTGATTTTCGTTCTTTTTTGCACCACACTGCACAATACAACACACAGGCATATTGTTTTTTTGTTTCACTATATATATTTGAAGTTTAAAAAAATGGTTCTTTGTAATTTACTGAAAAACCGCAATAATTTAAAACATAAACAACCGTTTGACAGGACAACTACCATGAAACTCAGGTACTCTGAGCGCTTAAGATGGCGGACATGGCACTTACCTACAACTTTGCTAATGTCAAAATGATTTGTTTCCATATTAAGCAACAACTTAAATATTGTTGTCCCTTTTGTCTAATACAATTATTGCCTTAGAAAGAGTGAGACAAAATGATATTTCATAGTTTGTTTCATATTTCCCTCATATTTGTATAAGCATGTATACTTCTATAGTAACACGGCGCCTCTATATATTTTCTATCTCAATGGTTCACTTGTGTACTACTTTGTACAACTCACAGACCTACAATAATAAATCTATGGTACAACTTCACCCAGGTTGATAGCAGCTAGCCATAAAATCATCCAAATCAATTCGTAAGAGGACTCTATTATAATTAAATCGAGTCGGCTGTGCTTGAACTGCAACAATCGCGTCAATACTTATTTCATTGCGGTGAGATTTGAATCAACTGAAGTGACGAGCCAAAATGCCGTTTTTCCTTTTTCGTGATGAATGCCCTTCCATTTTTATCTTAATTAAATATGTACACCTATTTTAAATAATTAATGAATGAAGTAATAAGTGACTGTATTTACAACGGTGTCTTTATGAACATATATTTTATAAAATTTAAGTCTATTTGTGATGTTAAAATATATATTATCTATACTTCTATACTAATATTATAAAGAGGTAAAATTTGGATGTTTGTAAGTTTGTATGTAGTTGGTAAGCTTTGGAACCGCTGGTCGGATTTCCAAAATTCTTTCACTGATAGATAGCTACAATATTCCTGAGTGCTATAGGCTATAAAACATTACGCTACAGTCAAATGGAGCCAAGCAGCGGGTGAAACCGCGCGAGAGTAGCTAGTGTGTAATATAATATCACAAACCTCAACATAGGGACCCTGCTCTATTTGAAATCATAAGAAGTACAAGTACGTATTGTTCTTCGGGGAGGCGGCAAAACTCCTTGCTGGATCACCGCCATGGGATCTGAAGGCGCACGTCTTAAGTTAGAACGTAGCGTATAAATACTCTTTGGTTTGCGCACCACTCGCGCTTCGCTGGGGTGAAACTCCACCATGACCTCCACAGTCACGCCAAATTAGTTCGTGTCGGAATGAGCTCGGCGCGATTTCATACCAGTAGAAGCAAAACATTTGTCGCAACCTAGGGTCAGGTGCGTGTTAAAAAAAGCTATACTAGTTTAGTTCAGAGTCAGACTTTTATAAATGAGCTTTTGTTTACGTATTTTACTCAACATACTCAGAAACAGCACCAGAAGGGCAACTAAAACCATACAAAACTATCATTATTCTTTTTAGTTAAGACAACTGAAAATACCTGTATGAGATTGTTCCTCACTGGTTCCTCTGTCTGCAGTTCAATAAGTGGTAATGGTATATACCCTGTTTTGGAATTGATTAATATTTTTGGCTTTTATTATCTTCAAGAAGTTTCAGAACTCAATTTCTTAAGAATTGCTTTTAGAAATTGCTATTAGACAATCAAGTGCATAGCTTATAGCTATGTCCTGTCTGTTGAACATTGTTATTGCGTGTGCATAAATTGTGAATAACGTAGGTCAAGGTGTCCATTTAAATTGTTAAATCTCAATTACGTCTTGACGCTCCGTGCTATCCTTCAAAGTTGTTAGTTTTGAGTGATTTTAAGCGGTCAACATATGGACAGCGATTTTTATAGCCGTGAAATTTTCGTTAAACTATGCTCTAATTTCTTCAACTGATGTGTCTTTGATAAAAAAGAGAATGCGTATTTTAAATGATGTCTAAGAAACGTCTTGTGGATTTTCTGCATCATTTCGGGTGTTAAAATTCCAAAAGCTTATATCACAAGGTATAAGGCTGTGTGCTTTCTTAAATTACTTGCAAGATTCTATTTCACAAGAACGGCTCGATCCAGTCTAAGAGTGTTTGGTGTAAATCTACACACAACCTTTTCTAGGGGTCTGTTTATTAAAATTTATCAAATGCGTTTTCAAGGTTCCTTTTCATCTAATTGTTCATTCTATAATGCTCAGAAGCTTGAAACTAGTAGTAGGGCGTTAACTTCCGTCTCACCATATTGCAATCCCTACTGCAGTAATGTTCCCCAGCCTCGGCTTGGAGCAGAAGAACGATCGGGTGGTTTTTAGTCAATAGCGTGATACTCCATCTTACCCACTAATAGTCAAAGTTCTAATGGGGTTTTCTTTGAGGGGGAATATAATTTAATTGGCTTTTGACACATTGCAGTCTAGCGAACTTTGAACAAAAATTATAAGAGAGAGATATTCATTATCACAGCGTTGGATTAACTTCAAAGAGTAAAATGGGAAAAATAAGTCCAACTAATTTATAGAAAAATATAAACTTATTCATTATTTGTCCAAATTTATGAGTGAAAATAATATCACCAAAGTTCTACGGCTTGTTAGTCTGCTGCCCGTCACTACTCGAAATTGGCAGTATAGTCGATACCACTTTAATGAAGTTTCGGTTGACATTCAAGGGAAAAAAAGTACAGGGAATTGTCAATTCAGTCAATTGTCAAGTTTTGCGGCGTGTGAGTGTCCATCGCAATGGCTCTGTGAAGAATACCATAATAAAAGCTATTATAGTATTATTTGAGAATAACATTTAACACTACAAAAATTAATAACGTATAATTTATTTAATAATTCTAAAATGTCAAAGAGACATAAAATGCCTTTAGAACTAGCACATGATGACACTATACAGTGTTTGTTTTTCTCGCCTAAACTTGGTTCAGATTCGTTGTTATGGGACGAACTATGTTTGCAACTTAACAATTCTATCAAAAATCTTACCCAAGACTACATATGGCATCGTGACGAGTTTATAGTTTACGTCCCTATCAATCAAGACACCAATTCAGGTATTTCCTTCAACATATCAATTACCGGAGGCCCAATCCTTCCCCTCCCCCAATCCATCCTCAATCCCTAAATCTCCAAATTCCTAATTCCTAAAAGGAATTATAATAATAAATAAATAAATCCCCTTGACGAGTTTTGAGCAAGACTAACATAATAACTAACTAAGAAACATTGTTCTATCACTAACTCTCATGGTTCCCAATAAATACATGAATATATCTACATGCCTACAATTCACTTTGATGTGCAGCTACTGAAGCTAGTGTCCAGTAGGCTGATAGTGGGATGTCTTTTACAAAGGATGTAAGGTGCTGCCAATGCTGATCTTTACCTGTCTTGGACACTCAGTATTACAAAAGTTTATAAAAATAACAGTAACAAATGGGCTGGCCCAACACACATCACACACGGAAAATCACCACTTGAGTTGAGTTTTGCAGTTTGTATGAAGTTGCATGAATCCCTATCCTCCCCCTTTTGCTCACCTCTTATCTTCAATTCCCTAAACCCATTACACTTCATGTAAGTCTGGTGTTGCAAGTACCCATGGGTGATGCAGATTACTCTCCACCTGCTGAACCATTTGCTCATTTGCCCATATATCACATTTCAAATACATTTTATATTTTTCATTTCAGATTTACCTTATCATCTTTGCAGCACTACTTGTTTTGGTGATAATCTAGATGATGAGTGGTTCATTGTACATGTTATATTGGAAATCTCAAAGCTATATAAAGATTTGATCATCCAGGTAAAAGATAACGATGGTGATTTCCTTCTAATAGAATCTGCCAACTTCTTACAATCCTGGGCAAATCCAGAAAGTACTGAAAACCGAGTAAGTTAAGGCTTAGTTTATTTATAATCTATATATATTTTATACCTTATATATATATTTATACCTCTCAGTTGGCTTCAGCCCCCCATACACCTCCCAAATGACAGGATGGGATTGGTTAAGACATACATAAATACATGTAGGTAATAATATGACAATTACACAATGAAGTTTGCTTAAAACATAAAAATATGTTATGTATGTATACACAAAATAAGAAAAAAAACTGTGTGAAAAAAAAATGTTTTTTAGAAAGTCATACATTATCAATTTCAAAAATGACTACTTACAGTATATTTTTATAATCTGTTAAATACATTCTCTGGTTATAAAGACTGCCACGGTTCTCTAAACATTTGATATTGAGGCCTGGCAACATTTGACACATGACTTGGATTTGTTTGCTATGACATTATGTTAGGTACATACAAATGTGCTTACCTGTTATGTTATATTGACTATCTTATTATTCTTCTTGAAGGATAATGAATTGTAAGTGCTTATCTGCATTTATGTTTTGCACAGTCACTGCATAAAACATTTTTCAATTATATACTGATATTGTTTACTACTGTTCCAGGTATTTATTCATGAGCATCGTATTCATATAATACAGCCAGAAGTATATACTTTAGAAAATAAGCTGGAATTAAAAGAAGCTTTGAAAATTATATCTGAGACACCACAGTTAACTCGATCGTCAAAAGAAATTCAACAAGCCGTTTTGAATCGCATAGGAAACTATCCCGAAAAGTTATATGAACATATTCATAAAGCAGTTGTGGAGCTACCTTCTGACCTAGCTACTTTGTTGACAATGAAACCTACTCTTGTAGCGCCTATTGTTGATGCATACTGCAATCATGATATTATTGATGCCAAGTACTTTAAAGAGATTGATTATAAAGACTGTGTTACAGTTGAAATAAAATTCACAAAATTCTTATATGCTATGCTATTGCATTCTAAGCTTTCTAATCATGCTAAGCAATACATACAAACTGATAATGATAAAAAAAAAGTTCTTGGCCTTAAGTTAACATTAGGATTGCAGATTATTATGAGTAGAGCTACAGACAATATATTTTTATCAAAGGAATATAATAGATTTCTTAATAACTTAAAGCAAAATGGGTACTTCAAAAATAATATTGAAGGTTCAAAAGAATACAATAATTTAATAGAAAAAGCGCAACAATATTTTTCTACGGTGGAATCTTCCGTAAGTTCAAATGTCTCTCAGAAAATATCGAATCTTTTAGCATCAGATAACTTTCCAGTGGTAAAAAATTCAGTAATAAACACCCCAGCGGAACATGTGAACTGCGGCGATAATGAAGACTGGTTAAATGTTCAACCAGAACAGTTAAATGAGCTATTACAAAACCGTTACGGAAATAAATTAAAACTTGAAAACGATGACATTCTAACATCTCAGAGAATAACTAAAGAATTGTCATCGTTTTTAAACAAAACTTCAGATTATGAAGGTATTGAACCCACTCGCAATGAAGACTCTGAACAGGAAATTGTATTTGAATCAGACAAATTTATATCATGTATAGAAAAAATGTTAAATTTATTAAGCACAGGCGAAAAGGGAGGAAGTGAATCAGAAGATAGTGAAGATGATTTCGATATAACTTACAATAATGAAAACGATAATAATGATGAAGATGACGATGATGACTGCGACATAGAACTTCGAACCAAGTTAGAAAACGGCACATCCGAAAACCTTAAAGAGGACACGACAGTACTAAAGAACATTATTCAAAGTATGAAAGAGGAAAAAGCGTCCACAGGACCTTCGAGTAATCTACTGAATGTTTTGGGGGTAAGCAAACGTGAGTTATTAGACTCTGATGATGAATGAATCTGAGAAATTGACATATTTTCCCCAGTATGTAGACGTATATAAATTATACAAAAAATAAAATAAACAGATAATTAAACAAAACATTTTTTTATTTTGAAAAATGTTAAAAAAAATTATAAGTTTAATAAAATTCCAACACCCAAGGTTTACAGATGAGCGTACGCTCCTCCAGCAGTAACTATCGTTTCTCCAGTTATGTAACTGGCGTCGTCAGAAGCTAGAAACGCTACAGCGCTAGCTATCTCCGACGGTTTCCCGAAACGATTCATTGGTACTATAGACAGACTTTTCTCTTTTCCTGCCTCATTGCTAGTAATCTGCAAGTAAAATTATAGTTTCATGGCCGTGTCCGTGAAGCTCTATTCATATTTGACACTTGTAATAAGATACTTACAGCCGATGCAAACTTCGTGGCTACTATTCCGGGAGCAACACAATTGACTCTGATATTATCATGAACAATTTCTGTTGCTAGTGCTCTGGTCATGCCTAAAAGTGTCGTTTTACTGATACTATAGGCACCAAGCGGCTGAAAAACAATAAATTAGTGTCTGTATTTAAAGTAGGCACATTGCATAGTTTAACATATTAAATCATATAATATTACATTCCCAGGGTTTCGGTGGCTCAATCAAACAGTGGGTTGGACATCCGGAACTATCAAATATTGGGCGAAACACGGTTATACTAATGCAGTGATACTCTGTGCTTTCCTAGTCGAGATCTTATGTATGAAAGTTGCATATTAAATATCTGCAACTAAAACTAAATACCTAACTGCAATGCAAAGCTCTACCAAAAATAATAAATAAGCATACACTTGGTACTTATTTAATTATGAAATAATCTGATGAAAAATAAAACAGTTATCTAAATCAGTTTTTACCTCCATAGGTTGGTACGCAGCGATGGATGAAATAAACACTATATTTCCACCTCCCCTTTTTACAAGTTCAGGATAAGCTTCCTTTGCTAAAAGCCAAGCACATTTTACGTTGATTTCGAATATTTTATCCCATACGGCTTCCTCAGTCTGGAAAATAAAAGTAGCAACTTATATGACTCGATAAAAAATACTTTTTCTTTTGCTAAAAGTAATATTTAAGAGAACGACACGACAATTAAATTTTACCATTATAAATTACGAACTCACTTCCAAAATCGGCGCCACTCCAGGATTGACGGCAGCGTTAGAAACAAGTATATCTAGTCCTCCGAATTTACTTTTTGTCTGAAATGGAAAAAAATATTATTTTCTAGGTAGCAATTTACAAAAAGCTCTTAAGCATTAAATAACTGTCCATTTCCAATAAAATATCAGCATGGCATGGATAATTCATTGTTTTCAACTTCTAACAACGTGGATAGAGGTACTAAAACTGACTATGCGAAGTTACTAAAGACGTCGGAAAATATGTAAGTAGATCTTATACTTACGAAATCAAATAATTTTTTCCTTTGGTCCGCATTGCCTACGTGACATACAACTCCTTCAGCTGTGATGCCTTCGCTACGTAAACTTTGAACAGCCTGTTCCACATTCTTTTCTTTCCTGCTGCTTATCACAACAGAAGCTCCTTCGTTCCCCAGCCGCTTAGCTATGGCATAACCGATGCTTAAAGATAATATGAAAAGTAAATTAGTAGGTATGATAAAGATGCAGTTGTAATATCGGTTTAAATATTGTTAAACACAGAAATAGATGTACATAATACTATCTGTTCAAATGAGGAATCAACAGTAGGTACCTACTGCCTACCTATGTATAAGTATAGATAGATCTACAAATCTAATTGCACTTTTCTAATATTTTGATGCCCCATTATATATTATGATATCTCCACCGTCCACGTTCCCGTCAAATACTTACCTACCTACTAAATACTTTTATGGTTATAACAGTTACAGTAAATAAATAAAACATTGACAAATGGTTTTTAAATTGTTTTTTTAGGTTTAGGTTAGTACTTAGATAAAGTATATATAAGTAGATGCCTAACAAGCTACATGTTGTTGTTGTTGTTTATGTTGGTTTTATTTTTTTAAAGGAAATGAAATAGAATGCAGTTTAATTAATGCACTTCTAATGTTGACAGTGATATAGATTGCGACAGCGAAATGGGATATTAAGAATTCAGCCTCGCTATGTGTTCTCTATAGCATATGTCACGGGGAGTGTTCTAAGAATTTGTTCGGTTTGACTTTTTCATCCCTATCGTATAGATGGTTGGCAGTCAACAACCGTTCGATATAAGCGAAAGTTTAGAATGTTCTTTCGGCGGCGCTAATTCTGAACCGATACGACCTTCAAACCTTCATCAAGAAACGAGCATACTCCTTAATTCTTAAAATACCGGCAACGAGCCTGTGACTCCCCTGGTGCTCACGTAAATCACATACCATCAGATACATAGTCAGACTGCTCGTTTTCCATAAAAACGGCCCGATTGTGCAACTAAAAACATAATTATCCCATAAAAAGCCATACATTCAGTAAGTAGGAAGGTAACTACAACATGCTGACCTAGTCAGACTATCCTCTTACCTACATATACGGTAATTATTATGGCCATCTAAATAATAGTATAAACAATAAAAATATGTTTTTTATGGCGTACAATACAAAAACATATTTTTTAAACAAATTAAATTACTTACTTTTTACTAAGGTTACTAAACTATCTAATAAATAACAGTAACTAAGCTTGTGCTTATCTAAGAACTCTTAAAAGTTATACAACCAAATACAAGTTTAAACACCTCACCTTCTAATGATTTTGCGCGACGTGCATATAAACCTAAGTATGTTTGATAAATTATCAGATTGCCCTTTGAACCTTTGAAACTTTGCATTACATTTAAATTAATACTTAGGTATCCACCTAGGCGCGGAGATAAATATTGTATTGGCATTTGTTTTCATTAATTTTCTGATTTATTGACACAATTTAATAACCTATATAAGTAGAACTTTTATTGAAACTTTAACACCGTCAACAACAAAGCAAAGTTAATTTTCAAACAAACAAATAAATTTCGTTTTACGTCTAATATAACTTACCCTTCTGTAGACGCTGTTACTATTGCAACTTTCCCTTTAAATCTAGCATCGCCATGAATCTCTCTGGCACTCATATTAAATGCATTAATCTTAGTCAAGCTATTTCTTTTTGTTATAATTTTAAATGTATTGAACATTATACTAGTGATGATGGCGCCCAGATGTGTGTGTTATAGAAATAAAAAACTGGTTTGTATGTGTAAATACATGTGCTGTCATTCTTTTTTATAGATAGCTTGTTATCATTATTGACTACATAACGTAGGTAGGTAACACTGAATACGATATTAAATAAGACATTGCATGATATTGCAACTTCTATTATTTTTTTATGTCATGCAATGAGTTTTATGAAGACAATCAAAGATTACCTACACCGTGATAATAATGTTAAAGTGACTTATATATTTCTGCACATTAAGTATAGGTGCTTAAGCAAGTAGGTACCAAAGAGAGAGGAGAGGGTATTAATTTTGCAACATTTTTACTTTATGTATATCACACTTCCAATTTTGCCATATTACCACTTGAACATGCCTTTACCACTTGAACACGATTTGCCTACTTATGTATGATACTTGACTGACTTAGAAATAAACCTATTTATCTAGGCATTTAATAATTATATGACTGCACAGTTGTTGTGTTGTACCGCGCGCGAAACGCTACGCGCCTTACGCTTGAAATACCGACTTTTGATCTGATCTTCATCTTGATCTGATATTTGACTGCACGGTTACCGCGTTGGCTGTAACGTGTCGCGGGTTCGATTCCCTCACGTAACACTCTTTGTGTGATCCACAAATTATTAATTATGTTTTCGGCTTAGGTACTCACGTAATAATTTGACGAGATACTCGACTAGTTTCAAGCCATGCTAGAGGCCCATATTCATGAGCAGCATTCCGCGACACGCGACTCGGGGACTGTCGCGCTGCTACTGGCTACTCGAGTCTGCGTGAGTAAGCCGAAAACATAATAAATAATTTAGAATGTCTCACGAAAGTTATAATAAAAAGATCCACAAATTGTTGTTTGGGGTCTGGGTGTAATGTGTTTGTGAAATTGTATGTTTGTAAACGCACGATGTTTTTTATTAAACAAAAGAAAAATCTAAAATGCCCACAGCCCACGGTCTACGGCGCAGGAGAGAAACTCTTCGCTTAAATTTTTTATTAGGTATCTAAAATTAAACTATTGTAATGATACCCTATAAAGCATTCTAGTTAGGGAATGCAACCCGGTTTTACCGAAATTCGAAAACCCGGGTTTTTGTGATATTTTAAACGATAAAAAAACTCGAATTTTTTAGTCACGTTTCCGGTTTTTCGGTGTTTTCGGTTTTTTAATGGCAACACTATAGCACTGTCAAAATGACATTTACGCTCTCAAGAAAAAGACAACTGAAGACTAGGCTGCATGGGCTCACGCTCTTTGCCTTCCCTTACATGGGAGAATCTTAAAGAAAAAAGGGATGTTTGTTTAGGTATTATTACTCTTCTCTGTGGTTTGTTTCTATAATTTAATAAGTTTTAGATATTTTCGAAGTAAAAAATATAGAATTAAAGTAAATTTATCGTACAATTTCAAGTGTTCATCGTGCAGTACAGTTTTTTCTGTTATTTAAATATTATTGTAGGTAGATGCACTAGAGTACAGACAGTTCCTATAAATACTTTAAAAAGTAAAATATGATTTGTTATTTTCATTTTCAGTATCTTAGCTATAGCTGTTCTATCAACATGATAATTATGTTTATTCAGTGAATTACTTGTCTAAAGTTGATTATTGTAAGACTGATTGTTAACGATTTCATAGTTTTACGAAAACTATATCTAAATAAATTAAAGTTATTTACCTTTGATCACGATTTTTTATTCGTTTCCATGTAGTTTATATAAAAAAGTGCTTACAAAAAAAAATCGTTTTAAACCCGATTTCACCGAAAACCGGGTTTTTTAAAATAGAACTCGAAAATAAACCCGGTTTTAAATTTTGGCGGGTTTTGCATTCCCTAATTCTAGTTGATGTTGATGTATAGTATCCATGGTCTATTCTTATCAATTTTTGAACTACAGATAATTATAATATACTAGTTTTGAACCATCATGGCTGTGATTCCAATCATGTCGTTCATTTCATTTCATTTTCCATGGGATTATGACAAAAGTGACTGACATATACCTACTGACTGACAGAAATGACAGACAGTATCTGTTAGACAGGTGCTAAACACACGTAGAAACTTGGTTAAAAATCGAAAACAATTCGAATCCGAAAGGTCATTTATTAATAAAGTATTACTTTAGTATAAAATGTAGACAGTAACCTAATGAGTACAATCAATCTTGTCAAAATAATTCATGCAATAATGGTGATATAAAAAGCCAGAACAAAATGAAACATCGTTGAAATGGCGTTTTTATTTAGAAGATATTATTATAAGTACACGAAGTGCTTAGTAATAACGGTATTATTAGCTTTTTTTATACATATTTTTATCGCCATCAGTTTGTTTCCCTCTATAAATGATAACATATCTATGAACAGTGGTTATGTATCTAGTGCTCGACAGCTAGGTGGTGAAGTTTCGGCTAGGAAGAATAATAATGGGTTTAGTGATGATGAAGACCTATCTTCTAACAATAAAAATCATAACAAACTTTCAACATATCTAAGGCTTGAAGAACTGGATTTTAAACCTCCTTGTGAAATAAAGAGTAAAGAAGCCATATCTGCCATTCATCGTGCAAAGACACAAATTTGCAAGCAACAAATTGTGAATAAAACCTGTCTTATTCAAAGCGGAAGTTTCTATCCTCAAGAATTACCAAATTCTTGTCGCCGTGGCCAAAACACATATGGCAAACACTTGGGATGTTATGCAGACCAGAAAAAATTACGGCTACTTACAGGTTTCTATGGTAATTATGCAAACACTAATTCACCAAGTTCATGTTTGGATATATGCATACAAGCTGGATTTATGTATGCTGGAGTTCAATATGCGTAAGTATTTATTTCAATTAATCCCTTATAAATGTATACTATTAGTTTAATTTTGAATATAAAATATATATTAAGTTTATTTTTTTATTGAAAATGTTTTATGCTTTTATGGTAAAACTGCATAACTGCAATTATGTATGAAATTTAATGAAAAGATAAAATTTCATAAAAACATTGACTTTTCCAGCTCGGAATGTTTCTGTGGTGAAAATCTACCTCAAGCCTCAGCTGCTGTAGCTGAACATTTATGTGACATGAAATGCCCAGGAAATGTAACACAGCATTGTGGAGGCTATTTTACTATGAATATTTATGAAACTGGCTTATCTAGTAAGTCTACTTTAAGTTGTAATAAAAGATTAGAAGATCAGAGTAATCTATTTAGTCTAGAAACTGAAAAATAAAAATGACTAAAATTTCTTTGTAGTAAAAATTCAATGGTTCACAGCCAGTTTATTTCATATTTTTTAGATTCTATGCTATTAAATAAACAGGCTGTGAACCATTGAACTTCTACTACAATGAAAATTTTAGTCATTTTAAAATTGGTAGAGTATAATTGCATTTTTGACCCCTGACTGTACAGTCAGCTCCAAAAGTCGATGAACAGAATCAACTTTCCAAAACACCTGTTCACAATAAAATGCCATAAGTTATAGTCACAACTAGGAAACAAAATAGCCTGTACATCAGAAATTTACAAAAGTCGTTAAACACGACTAATTCAAAAGTATCTGTGCACTATAGTATTCCTAAAGTCGCTGTACACCATCAATCCAAATGTCGCTGAACATCATTGTATCAAAAGTCAGTAAACAGCAGAAAAGTCAAAATTAGGTTAACAAAGTATATTTTAATGTTGCACTGTGTTAATATAATTTTGACGCTTATGTTGTTCAGCTACTTTTGGGACAGTGTAACTTAATAATGTATATTAACACGTTAGTATCTTTTTCAATACTTATTTAAAAATTAATCATATTTTTAACCGACTTTAAAAAAAGGTGGAGGTTCTGACCTCATGACAATGGGACCAAATGGCAGGTAAACCCTATCAAATAAAAAAAGAATTTTGCAAATCGGTCCAGTCGTCTTCGAGTAATCGGTGTACATACATAAAAAAAATACGCATCGAATTGAGCACTTACTCCTTTTTTGAAGTCGGTTAAAAATATAATTGATGTGTAAATAAGTATTGAAATGGATACTTACGTGTTAAAATACATTATTAAGGTCTAGCGAGCACTGTCCCAAAAGTAGCTGAACAACATAAGCGTCAAAATTATATTAACACAGTGCAACATTAAAAATATACTTTGTTAACCTAATTTTGACTTTTCTGCTGTTTACTGACTTTTGATACAATGATGTTCAGCGACATTTGGATTGATGGTGTACAGCGACTTTAGGAATACTATAGTGCACAGATACTTTTGAATTAGTCGTGTTTAACGACTTTTGTAAATTTCTGATGTACAGGCTATTTTGTTTCCTAGTTGTGACTATAACTTATGGCATTTTATTGTGAACAGGTGTTTTGGAAAGTTGATTCTGTTCATCGACTTTTGGAGCTGACTGTACATAATAAATTGTGCATGAAGTACAAGCGTAAATTAATAAATAAAAAAGTTAATGTTTTTTTTTAATTAAATTGTTACTTTTGGATGACCTAAGTACTAATTTCTGCAACATCATATAAAAATATATTGTTTCATTTAAATATGTTTTAAAAAAAAAAATTTTCCATTATCATTTTAAATTATTAGATATTTTAAATAACCATTTCATTTCAGAACCTCATTTCAAATTAAAACACTGTTTAATTTTTTCGACAATATTAAAACTCTTATTTTATTTTAAAACACTTTATTATTCATTCATATTTTTTTTACAGAATTTACACCTAGAGTCCCTACAACAGCAAGCACTATGAATGAACCCATTCAAATCGTGTTCCTATTGACACTGAATGGGCGCGCATTGAGACAAGTTCACAGACTTATAAATGTCTTATACAGAAGTCACCATTATTTTTACATTCATGTTGATAAGGTAAGTTAACCATTTATTATACCTTTACAATCTAATGTGTGTGACACGTGAGTCAACTAGCAAATTATTAGAAATGGATATGACGAAACATTTCAAGGCTTGAATTTCATTATGCAAATTTTAAAAGCTTTCTATAATGTAAAATTAAATCCAATTTGTTAAAATTGAGTGTGAGTACCAAACATAAATATGATAAGTTTTTTAATGCATGCATGACTGCACTGATTAATGTTGGCTTGTTATGCTTGTTATCGCTTATCAACAGCTAGCATATATGTTATCCAAATAACTGATTAATAATTGAAAAGGTAAATAATTAATTAACAACCAGTGGTTTTTTCATCTGATGACTGAAATCAGTGATGCAGTGCTTTAAGCA